TTCTCAAATGAAATTAATTAAAAACAATTTGAGAAATAAAATGCATCTAAATACACTAGATGATCATTTAATGATTTATTAAATGGTCCAGAAATTGAAGATTTTGATTTTTTAAAAGCATATGAAGATTGGGAAAGTAAATAAATAAATAATTCTTTTTAATTAAAAAAATAGACGTGCACATAATTTGTGCAACGTGACACCCCGATTGAATTTTCAACACTGGACGCAAGACGCAATCCGTGATCGTTTTTTTTATTTTTTTGGTAATTCGGGAAAATGTTACAAATGTAACACATAATTTTGTGACTTTTATTAATATGTTTCCAAAAGTTACTTTAAGCATCCTTGGGAAACATAAGATACATTCGTATAATATGTATTTTATTTATTAATTATTTATTGTAATTTTATATAAATATACGAATGTAATTATTGATTGTTAGAAGTAATTTGACTTCTAGGATTGTATTTGTGAAATGAACGTAAAATTCGTAAAAACTGTTATAATTTGATAACAGCAAAAATTAAATTACATTTATGATAATATTTAAAATGGACAAATTGAACATTTTAATTTCTAAAAACAGAGGTTCTGCAAATTGGATCCATTTTTATTTTTAGATCAACCACCATGCAATGTTTTTAAATATTCATCTTCAAGAAAATAAATACCTAGTTTGTAGATCATGTGAATACTATATGATTATAAATATTAAAATGGATGATTAAGTCCAACCAAGCCCTCTAGTTCTAGATCTAGAATGAGATCTGGGTAAATGAATTGGAGTTGCATGTGTGCTAAAATGACTTGTAGCATGATATGTTTCTAATTTAGTTCTTCTATTGTATATTTTCTAATTGATTCTTCTTGTCCTTCCAATTCTCTTTTACTGTCAGCATCAAATTTATATTCCTTTTTATATATAATTTTATAAAATATGATTTCTCAAAAGGGTCATCCTATATACAGAAAGGTTCTTTTTATGAAATATACAGAACCTATGTCACAAATAAGAATTTATTTTTGGAGTTGGTAAGCATTCCATAACTCCTACCACCCCCAAGCCTCACGAGTTTAATAGTCACATATAGATAACTGTCAAGAGGAGATTACAAAAATTTGAGCTATATATTTCCTTTTTTATAGAATAAATTTCCATTTTTGGTAGGGTACTGTATATTTCAAAAAAGAACCTTTCTGTATATATATAAGATATTCCTTTTCAAAAAATTCAATAAATGATGATTTGCTGCATGTTGTGAACAATGATATTTTGATTTTTAATAGAGGAATTCGATGATATGCTGGATAGATGTATCTTTGGTCAATCAAGTAAAAAAATAATTTATCACCTACATGTGTATTAATATTAATATAAGTTTTATATATTTAAAATTTGATATCTAAAAATTTCACTGGCCATAAAATTGCATTAAAATGACTTCAATGTCATTGTTTCCTAATGTTTTTCTTAGCATATCTATTGAGTTTTTGCCTACTTTTCCCAATTTTATATGGTCATTTTTAACATGTGGCATGATGCCTTTATTAAATGGCCATATGAGCAACTCTCCATAAAAAATTGCTTGGAGTCTAGATTTAGATTTTCCATATGAAACAGCTATATCACAATATTTAATCACACCATGGTCTTTTGTTGCCATGCTTTGGCCTTGTTCACTGTTAAATTAAATGGTGTTTTAATATTTTAACAACAAAATGTAAAATTATATTAAATAGTTAAACAGATAAGACCTACTATCTAATCAATAATGAATTATTATCCACTAAATAGTCTAGGTAACTAGACATGAACTAATGTGAAAATGTTGATTCATTAATGATATCAGATCTCTGTTGATACTCTTTCCTTGCCCAAATCTTTTTTCTAGAAAAATAATAAAGTTAGATATTGCAAGCATGCAATCCAAGTTTCCTATTTAATAGGTTATTTTACATTCAACACACAGCCTACCTGCTGACTTATGGTCAATATTTCTTTATCTTACAGCCTACCTGCTTGGATAAAAGATTCCTAAGTTATTTAACTAACTATATCCCAAAGGTGTCCCTTGAGATGTATCTGAATAATTAAAAGGGTTCCCAACTAATAATTAAAGGTTGGCCAGACCATTAATCATTAGAAGGGCTGGGGGTCAACCACACTGGGTTTATTAGTTACTTACAGTCAAAGACTATTTTATGTAAGGTTATATTAATATATTTATTAAGAGTTATTATTATGTTGTTGTTATCAAGGTTGTTATTAAGAATATTAACAATTGATTTATTAATAAGTCTCATTAACTTGGTCTAAAGCCAAGTGTATTTATACCTCTTGAGGCAGTACAAATAATGTGCTACCCTACTCTCCAATAATATGCTTATTAACTAATTACTAATTCTAAATAAATATTTACATTAAATGAGTAGGTTAATAAATATAGATATAGAAATATGAATAGGAATAATCTTTCATATGACACTGCACAATGTGTGGCATAGCCGTTACAATAATAATATTTATGTTGATGATGGTAATTTTTTGCAAGCAAGGTAAATTTGGTTCGAGATATTTGTAATGGTGCATGATGCATTTGTTAAGTAGATGGACCTTTGACATCCTGTGCATGGTGAAATTGTATTAATATTTGTATTTGTATTATTCAATATATAATGTCTGTACAATGTAGATGATATATGCTTGGCTATTATGAGATCAGAGTTTATTATGGATGCTATTATAGGTTTGTGTCTCATGTCAGTTGGAGGTGTGTATAAGGAAGGGAAAATGAATGGATTGGTGTGAGGTAAATTTGATATATTGTTTAAAAAATTTGTTTGTGGTTGACATAATTGAGATTTAAGTATATTGTACCATTTAGGAGGCCTACGAAATTTACTAAGAGGTAGTCTATGAAATAACATGTTTATTGGGAGAAAGGTTGAACAATCACATGAAAGTAATTGTTCTAAGAAAAATATTGAGTGTTTTTTGAGTAATGGTATTATCTTGAAATATTGATTTTGTATAATGTTTATTAATGGGATATTGCCACCTTTGATGTTAAAAGAGAAGATGAAAGAAGATGAAGGTTGGCATGATATATGAGTAGAATCATTAATTTGACACAGGCAGCTGTAATATTTTTGTTGTTTAATTTTGTAAGAAGTGCTTGTGTCACCAATAATGGGCAGAAAGGGATCCATAATGTAGATTGAAGTTGTTTAGTTGCATATATGTTATTTTACCTATGAGTGATGGATCATTAATACAAACAATGAAATCATTGGTTGACATTGTAGTTGCCAATAGTCAAACAGATTGTAAAATTGTGGATGATAAATAGCAGAGTTTGGAAATGCTTGAGATAGACCTAGTTTGTTTTTAAATAGTCTTGTGATAGGAGAAAGTAGTTGTTCACATTCTTTTTTAGAGAAGAAAGTGGTTTGATATCTGTATTCTAGTTTAGGTGCAAGGACATGATTTATTATATATTTGATTTGTTCTCCTGTTAATTTTTTGGGGTAAAGTAATGATTTGAAGGTGTTGATTGTATTTTGAAAGAAGAAATATGGTGTTTTCGTGAGCCAGAAGTATTGAAACATACTCCTAGAATTCTAACTGGAGTATTTGTGTGAGTGGAATGTTATTGAATGTTGCATTTGTTTCATTGTCATTTTCTGATGAATTAATGACCATCAATGTTGATTTGTCAGGATTTACTTTAATAGCATTTAATTGATAGAAAGAAGAAGCAATTGAAGCATGGAATATTAGCAATTACTTTATACTTAAATGTGTATATATGTATATATATATTCAAAAAAGGATCAAAAAAATTTTTTTTATCAAAATATTCATGGTGTCTATCATATTTTAAATTACCAGAAGACAATCTAGAAGAAGAAAAATAACTAACAATAATAATAAATCATATATACAACTAGGAACAAATGTAGAGAGGATCTATCACCACTATTTTTTATTTAATTAATCAATATACACATACACATCATTGTGTATATTAATAGTTATGTATAAAGTATCCAATCTTTGTCACTTCAAATTTGTTTCCTCCTTTTCCTGATATCATTATAATTAGTGGTTGTATCCATTGATTATCGGGTGTTTGAGCAATTAGTCAATCAATAAAACTCAACATCCGGATAATTGGTCAGTCAATAGAATTCAACACCTGGATAATTGGTCATTCACCAAATATCTGCTGAATATCTGCTGAATATCTGTCAAATATCCATTAAATATTAAATTTATTTAAAAAAAAATTTTTTTATTCATCAGGAAAAATATAATAAATTTTTATTCGTCAAAATCAAGAAAAATATTTTCAACACACACATTGCATATTTTTTTTAAGAAATACAATTCTTTCAAATAATAATGGGTTCAATTTTGTTCGTTTGGCTGTCATTAAAGAATGTAAGTGATAAAATATTATTTATTATATTAATTACGTGGATATTTTTATTTTTTTATATTCTGTACCACCGATTATTCACCAATTATTTGGTGAAAATTTTCAACACCCGATTAATTAATCAATGAAAAATTTTCAGCATCCGATTAACCGGATAGCCGGTGAATAATTCCCCGTTTTACTATTATAAATGACATCATGGAAAAAATCCGGATTGCTTACTTAATTGTGCTGTTTTTATGAAATAAACTGAAGATTTACGGAGTGATAAACATGATCACGGAAAATATTCTGGAGTGCCATTTTTTACATGGTTTGGGTCCAAGTATTTTCCTCCTATGCGAGTATTTCAACATATGAATTAATTTTCTCTTTGTCATTGGCCCAAATTATTTATAGAAACAATTGTAACAATTGCGTACGATCTAAAATATTTTTTTAAAAATTAATAAAAATGGCAACGTTTGAAGAAGTTGGAGAACAGTTAGAAAAGGCTGAAGAAGAATATGGAGAGGTGAAGAAGAAGCTAGAGGATTTAGAAAGTGAAAAAGGAAAGCAGAAAGGGAAAAAGATGTTCGGAGGGAGGAGGTGTTAGAATGTAGAAGGAAGATGCGAAAATTTGAGGGAAAAGGTAATGAATGAACAAATTGTGTAAAAAAAAAAAAAATACATAAATTATTTTTCGTTCATTCCATTTAGTGTTTGCACTCATGAGTACAAACACTAATTCCATTTCGTTTATTTATTTATCGGTTGACTTTTTTTTTCCACTATCAATTAGTATTATTTTTTTTTTCTTCAATAATTTTTTTTAAATTGCCTTTTTTCTACCATATTGTTTCATGAACAAGGTAAGCAAGCAATCAACACATGTTTATTGGGAGGATAGTTGGAAAGTTATCAGTTGGGAGTAACAAAGCTAGGTTATACATAACTTATTTTAATGGTGAACAAAAGACATGTTATCAAGATATGATGCTGTTACAACAATCACTGAGTCATAGAGTAGAGCATTCGTTCAGTTGTCTGTTGTCCACATCAGTTTACAGGAATGTTTAGTAAATACTATTTGCAATGTTTGATTAACCTGTTTTGATTTTTGACAGACATGCTTAAAAATAAGGGAATATCAAGACTAGGTATAAAGTTGTTGTCTTTAACTTTTGTGGTAATGTGCATTTGATTCATTGTTATTCACTATTTTGTACTGAATAGGAGGTCTTGGAGGAACAACTTACAAAGGACTGGAAGGTGGTTTTTTTTATGAAGGTGTTGATCTTACTAGTGCTACTGTATGTCAGAGAGAACCAACTATTAACAGACTGCTTGAATGTATGTTTAAAGAACACATTATTCTATTTAGATCACCACCAATGACAGGAAAAACATCCCTTGGACAACTACTTGAGGCCAAGTTGCTCCAATTAGATGAATTGCAGAATGGATCAGCTTGTGTTTTTCGCATTTCAATGATATGGATGGAAAACTTGATTGATTCTCATGGACATTTGCAGATGGATTTCAAATGCTTATGAATATAACATGGAATGAGTTTCTCCAGCAATGTGGTGATAAAAAAACATATTTGATTATCGATGAAGTGCAAAAAATATATAGGAGAACCTTGTCATTGTGGAAGTGCATTTTGGAATGCATTTAAGCGCATAATGCAAAACTTGCAGCTTTCCATTGTAGCATTGGCCCCATATGGTCACTATGGTGCTTATGCTACTCGTGAAAAACGTTCAGACATGGACATTTCACCACTTAATAAACTTACTACAAAAAACAAAATGGGGATATAAAGATATTTGCTATACCAAAGAAGAATTTAGAGTTTATTTTGATCGATTTTGTGAAGAACATCTTAAAGAAAAATTGGTAAAAGATGACATTCCATATCTTTTTAACTATTTGTCCAAAATAACAGTTTACCATCCAGGTCTAATTGTTTACACTATGGATCACATTGGTGAAAGATTTACCAAAAAAGACAGTAATTCTTTATCTTTTGATATACTTTTTTCTTATCTAAAATCTCATGATTTTAATGATCTCCTCAAGGTAATGTATTATTATATTTTTTTATTGTTCTAATAACTAGTTGTATTTACTAAACAATTTATATACGGTATACATTTCCAGACTATCCATGCATTTTATCCAGCTTCTGATCTTTCATATGAAGAAAGAAGAATTGTTGATGCTGTACTCTTCAAAAAAGGGGGTCTTGATTATGAAGCAGAGAAAATTCCAAATGATGGTCGACTTCTTAAGACCAATGCACTTGTTGATACAAGTTCAAACAAATCACATATTGCACTGCTTGATTTTCCAGCACCATTGCACTGAGTAAAATACCATCAAAACCGTTTTGGTGCAATAAGCCAATCTAAACCACCTCCTAGTATATTCAATGAATTTATCAAATTAGTTTTCACAAAAATGAATCCAAAAATATTGCAAAAAAGTAAAGGCAGAGGCACAGATGGCCATCTTCTTGAATGTGTCTGGCAAATGGAATTTTACCATGCCTCGATGCAGATTTTACCTGAAGATACTTATGCTTCTGTAGATGCTTTGAATCAAAGGGTTACATAGACTTTTATGTAAATGACAAGAAAAATGGGCAATTGAACTATTAAGAGATGGAGATAGACAGTTAGAACATCAACAAGGGTTTGAAGAAGGTGGTATATATGTCCCTATTCTTAAACATGCAGATAAGTGGGCACTTATTGATATTCATAATAGTGGAATGGATTATTCAGAGCCAGAACAACATAAAAAGCATGATATATATGTTCTCTGCACTGAAAACTTTGAATCTGTTCAATTGATATATCCTGACGGATCTGAAGAATCTGTTCAATTGTTAGGTGAAGAAGAAGATTTGCTTGGATATGATATCTCGGACTTTTTAAATGATCCAATGGAAACTGATTAAACTATCTGATCATGTTATATTTTTACTGAAAATTGTACTGACTAAAGTAACAAAATTTATTACATTGTAAATCTTATTCTTTTTGTGCAAACTTTATTATGGGAGGGGTATGTAGATCCTAAGCCATAGGCAATATAATATTAAATGGGAATTCCAGCATCCAATCCCTGATTTTAGCTGACAAAAAATCAAGTAAAAAGACACATTACTTTTTTATATTCATCTATCTTTCCCCTATAAAAAATTTTTATTAGTTAGTATTGTTGCCGGAATTAGATTTTGACGCAGATTTTTTGGTCGAATCTCTTAATTCCGGGACAATTTAAATTTTATTTCTATCTTTATTTTTATTTATATTATTATTTAATCTATTCTTATTTTCATTATTGTTATTTTTATTATTTTTATTTATTAATTCTATTTATTTATTAATAACGTGTATAATTATTATCATCTGAATTCGTGTTACGTCCCGTCTATTTAATTTTTATTATTATTAATTAATCCATAGCATATTCATATTTATTTGACTCTATTTA